ATTGTCTTTCATATATATACATAAATCTCGATATAAACTTTAAACGCTACTTTTCTTTCATATACAATGTAATCGTAAACTAATGTTATTTTCCAGGATTTCCATTAGCATCTCAGAGTGTCAAATAGAAAGACCTCGAGAAAGACATACCTAACGATAAACTTTAAAAGACATAGTGGCCATAAAACAGGCTCGTAGGAAATATTTTGTTTTACGAATTTTAAATACATTTTTTTTATATCTGTAAGGACCACTAACATATTTTTTTTATTCAAAAAAAAATGTAAAAATACTGTACAAAGCTTTAGAGTTTGATTATTGAGAAGATTGATTATTTGTACTATGTATATGCTATACACAAGGTGTTCAAACATCCACTCCACATTTCCAAAATACTGTATTATATTTTTTATTCACCGACTAATTTTGAAATAATTTTTAGTGATAAAAGGAAGTCAGTTTAAAAACTTCTTTGTCTCTATGATTTTTTTTAAAAAGTAAAGCACTTGGTACAATAATAAATGTATTATTAATAAGTACTCGTATTTCTATATTAACTGCACATTAATATGGTTTAAGATTTTGATATTGATAGGAAAGTAGAGACAGACCAACTATAGTAAATACCTAGTATATAGTTTTGACTTCAGGACATTTCTTATATTTTTAATATTTTTTTAAAAAGGCTGAAAAATATGTATTTTATTTATTTATTTATTAATACTTCTAAAACTATCAATACATATATTTAATAATATTTTAGTATTATGAAAGGAAGCCGAAAATACAATAACATACAAGGTGTTCCGCTAAAAAAATCATCGCGATCCATTCACATTTTCTTGAACCATCCTGTAGAAGTTAAAATATTTTCCTGAAATACGCCCTAATACATTCTTCAGGTCTGCACTTAAACAAAATTCTTAAGTTTTTTCTATTACAGGAGATACAGAGGCCCGACGCACTATTGCCGAACCCAAACACCAACCACCTCCTTTACTTTTTAAAAAGCAGGTATCATGTTTTTTTACACCTTGTATTACAGATATTTTCTAAGAGATTTCTAATTACCTCGATTGCTATTTGAACAAATATTTTGTACGTATGTTTTATCAAATTTCCAGACAACGAGATTTCTGTAAACCAACATGGAGCCATGCATGTAATTTTCATTATTGTGACGCTCTACAAAAACCACAAAATGCATTATGCGACAAAGATAGATTAATATTAAGTGTCGGTGTCATTGGTCGGATAATGAATAATACGTTAAAGAAAACTGTACAGTGCATTTAAAATGCAATAATGGTCGATCGATAATGATAAAAAGTCAGTGTCATTGCCAACCGAGTTGCCAACATTGCTTTTAGGCAATTAAATTCTATTTAGCTATTATTGGTACATTTGTTTCGAACTTTGTATTATTATTAGTTTGATAAATATTGAATGTTGTGGATTATATACTTTGCTTAATGGCTTTTTTTATTTATTCGTGTTATTTATTTAGTTTAGCTTTTTGTAAATCTATTATTTTCAACTTTTTATGATTTTTTTTGTATTAGTTTGGTAATTTGTTGATATATATTTTTAAAAGGTGTATCTAGAAACTCGCAATCAGTGTAAGATAATATTATCTATCAAATTATCTAAATAAGTCAATTCATATTAATATTCTCTATCTACATAATATACTTTAGAAAAATATTAGAAAGGAAATTTGGTCATAATTTAACATTTTTTTATCCGGGTTTTTACGTATGTGTCAAATTTGAAAAGCCGAAAAAAAAATCGAGAAGAAAATAAAAAAAAAACATAATATACAATTTTTTTGCATAAAACAGTATACCGGGTGCGCCTCAAAAGTGGCTCACCCCTATAACTTTTTAATTTTTCAGATAAAATTTCGAGACTTGGTACGTTAATATAAGACATAATCGGGATTGATTGACGTATTCAATTGTTTTCGGCCACTTCCTGTTTCACCGGAAATAACTGCAACTTTTGATTTTTAAATGGCACCCTCGGTATTTGTTTACTTTATTCGATAGAAAATGACATTCTGAATAGAATGAAATATCCTCTGTCAATTTTTGACTTTCTCGCCGATTAAAAAATTGTATTTTAAATTTCAATCTAGAGTGCCATGGCTATGTTAAAAACACTAATTCTTAATCGAGGAGCTTTGGAAAAATTGATAGGATCGTCTAATGTTTTTAGTGTCTTATCGTGGCCAGTTAGAAAATGCTCAAATTGTATTTTTAATCATATCTCAATTTTTTCAAATGAAACGAGGGTGGCTCATTAGCATATTTAGAAAAGGCATTTTTTTACGAATAACTTGATACCACACATTTGGTATTTCGAGTCAAATTTATGTTATGAACCGCAAGTTATAATTTCAAATAAACCATATGGGAAAGTGTCAAAAGTTGTAGTAATTTCCGGTGAAACAGGAAGTAACCGAAAACAATTGAATATGTCACTCAATTCTAATTTATGTTTATGTATACTAACATACCAAATCTCGATATTTTATATGAAAAATTAAAAAAATTATAGGTGTGAGCCACTTTTAAAACGCACCCGGTATGTAAATTTGGTTTTATTGTAATTCAATCAGTTAAATGATTTTTTCGCAAAAGGCTGAAAAAAAACACGATAAATTACTACATAAGGACGTACCACTAATTACAATAGTATTCGTCTATTATCTGTTTTGTTTAATTGTACATTTAGATAAGTAATGTGACCTAAAATTCCTTGGAGTACTTTAATCCTAACGTCTAGTAAAATAAGTTTGCTATTCATTACGTTAAAGTTATCAGAATTACATTGTTAATCAGCTACTTAATATCACTAACATTTTCTTTTTGAAATACCTGAAAATAAACAATGAAGATAGTAAAATAAACAGTCTGCTGCAAATAAGCAGTCTGCACTGATCTGCTAAAAAGAATTTACGAAACTAATTTTAACACAATCCTTGTTTTTGTTTTAAATACATTTGTAAATTTTATTGTTAAATGATTTTTTAAAACTATTAACTTACTAATATAGTAAAACAACAATGAATTATCTAATAGTCATATGACCTTAAGTAGCAATAATTTTTGTTGTGTTATCTGATATCCTGAAAACAAGAATTGTTTGAAAACATGCATTATTTATGGTATTAATTCTTTATCAGAATAATACTTGATAACATGATTGGTAGCAAATTAGTGTCAGGATATTAAAAAAAAAATTGTTATTTCAGGATAATTAATGTCTGTAAAAATTATATTAAGATGAACTATGTTTAATCGAGGATAAGTCTTTGTTATAAATAATATTTTCTACATTTCTTAAACATTTTTCTTATTACTGAGATGAATTTAATATTATTATAATTATTTTGAACACACAATAAACAAACTAGTTTAAACAATGTTAACGTGTACAGCTGACAAAAAATGCCTTACTTACATATTTGTTTTTTTATGTGTTCTGACAGTTTTTTTTACTATACTGGCTAGTTTGACAAGAATATTAAATAAAATTGTATTGTTTATTTAGTTTTCTAACCTAGCAAGCATTATTTATCGTCTTAGTCTAATAAAAAAATACCATACTCTCTTTGTGAAAACCACGTTCTTAGCTAAATGTTAGCTAGTGAATTTACTTCATTTTCAGTATCAATTTTTGGAAAATATATTTTATACCTAAGTTGGGAGTTTCAATTTTAAATTATATTGCTGTAAACCGTAAAACTGTATACACAATAAAAATAGCACAAATTGGGATAGTTATTTTCGCATTTTAATTTAGGTTTATAGGCCCTAATTATTATTACCTGATCTTTAATGCTTGTCTGGGTGCTAGCTATCTTTCGCTAATCTGCAATATGCTATCGATGACGAATTCAAAAAAAATATTATATGACTGGCCTAATTTTAAAAGTGTGAACCTACTCAATACCTTTTTTATTATTATCAACCTTTAAATAATATATATTTAATAACGTATTCTATATACGAGTAAAAAAGCAGGTTAGAGCATGCTAAAGATATAACTCAAGTTGCTACAGGTTTCTCGATTTTTGTAAGTGGGTTTCCGTCTATGGTTATGGTTGGTGTTGTGATAAGTGACTAAATCAAATATACTAACGAAGCAACGAAATAAAATACATGCATTTGTTCCCAGGTGTTTATGTTGAAGTGGCGAGTAGAACAGTGCTTTTTCTATTCCAATACATGCATATTATTTGGTTGCATATGCTTTGAATATACTATGGCATAGTGCATCACTTGCTTGGCTAGTGTCTTTGTGATTGTCGTTTATCACAGCTCTAACATAAACACGGTCATAAACAGGTTACGGCTATGTCGGAGTTATGATTAACAACAAAACCAAAAATTAACACAATCTCAAAATAGTCATAGATGTTAGAAGAATATATCTACTTAACAGAAAATTAGTTCAGGAAGTAATTTATCTCACTGTAATAAGTAAAAACCACAATTTTAAACATTGTATGAATGATTTACTGGGAATATAGCATCACTTGTATATGATTAAGAATCAAATTAAAACTTTGAATTATAGATGATTAAACCTCAAAACTCTTTTAACTTAAATTTTTAGTTTATCACCTGTTGATGATAATTACAAAACATGGTTAGCAATGTTTAGTTACGAATATGGCTAGTAAAACATTCCTTCAAGGTTTAATATACGATATTTGGATACATATGATGGTCGATTTGTTTTTTTGCTCTTGTAAACACCAAATCTTTTAACCTAAATTATATTTTTATGTAAAAAAAAAAATAATTCCAAACAATAACAGACTAATGTTCTCTTAAAAACAATGAAATTAATTCCTAATAAATTATGTATTATACATACATCTTCAATAATATTTATTATCTCGGGAAGTCCTTATTTAAATTTTGAAGTAGACAATATTAAGTAAAAATAGAATACTGAAAATTAACACTAGTAATTTATACAATACTTACCTCAAAAACCAACATCTCGTACTAAGTTAAAAACCCAACAAAAATAAACGAAACCCGAAAAAAAAAACAATCTCAAGTCCGGCCGAATAAAATCGAAAATCGGTGCGACACTGGACCACAACAAAACACTGTCGTCGAACGGGCCAGCAGCAGCGGCGGCCAACCAACCGGCTCGGCCGAAGACACTTGCGAAGGGCCAAAAAAGCGAAACGCTAGACTGGGATGCGAACGGAACGCCAGTGGTGTACGCGTCGACGGCGAACAGCAGCGACTGTGCACTACGAACGACTGCTTTATCGGGGGAGCGTACGAGGACGACTGACTGGTCGTTGGAGAGTAGTCGTCGGTTCAGCTGAGTAGCAGGCTGTGATATCAGATCATTCACTTGGGGGGCTTGACTGGTGGTTCGATGGGGGGATACGACTGTCCGGTGCATCGGAGAAGATCGACGAGAAGGTCGTTCGCACCGCGCAGAGTTGACGGTGCTTTATTGCTCAATGTTGAGAAATGGTTTTTGGGCTCGTTTTTTCGGGAAGAGTCTATGAGTAACAGGTCGATGATCTTGTTGTTTAGAGCGACAGTCAACGATTTCATTTTATTAAATTGATATATTCCTATGTCATTAATTCTAAAGAAGAAAACATTCGAACAATGTGTACTACCAGTCATGACCTATGAATGCGAAACCTGGACACTTAAATCGGACATTATAAGGAAACTGCAGGTCGCACATCACTCAACGGAACGAAATATGCAGGGAATAACAAAAAAATGTATAATAGGGTGTATACGATAAAAGATCCAGGCGATAGATGTCAACCACAGAATCAAATCCCTCAAGTGAAAATGGGCAGGACACCTGGCAAAAAGGGCACACAACAGATTAGAAAATTACAGCATGGTAGAGGCTACACCATAATTGGAAATGGTTAAATAATTTGAAAATGATGATGCTACTGGTGATAACACAAGTATACATGGTTTTGGACCTGAGCAAATAAAAGCAATTTCTAAGATAATTTTTGGGGCTGAATCCAAATCAGCAGTCTATTTTTTAAGATTGGTTCTAGTTTTCGAAATATTCAATAAATTCATTATTTTACTATTTTTGACCGTTAACAGTCATTTATTGAATTTAACAATATAAATCAGAAATGAACAGAGGTTAAACTGCGTTTTTTTATAGTGCTTGGGATCTGTTTCACGGATTAGGGTCCAACACTAATCGCTCATCATGCCTTCGTCCCAAAATCCTTGGTATCGCCTTTCGATTTTCGCTATATCTTGGTGTAGCCGCTCTCCTTGATCGTCGCTCGTGTCGCCAAAGTTTTGTGGAAAAAAATCAAGATGTGAATGCAGAAAATGTATCTTCAGAGGCATTAGAGCTCCAATCTTGTGGTAATTGTCGATTACTTGCTTGTAATCCGGTGATTTATGATTACCTAGAAAGTTGTGAACAACACTTTGAAACGATGCCCATGCTGCTGCTTCATCAAGCGTTAAACATTTTGTAAACGTTGCGTCAGCCATTAGTTTTCGAATATCAGGTCCGACAAATATTCCTTCTTTGATTTTTGCATCTGACAGTTTTGGAAACAACTTGGTTAAGTACTGGAAAGCCGGTTCTTCGCGATTGAGCGCTGTGACAAAGTTCTTAATAAGGCCAAGTTTAATGTAAAGAGGTGGCAGTAAAACGTCCTGTAGTTTACAAGTGGTACATAGGACACATTTTGTTGTCCTGGCTCATAGTGGGTACGACTCGGCCACACCGAAAACTAGAGCCAATCTTGACAAACGGATTGAAGATCTGAGTTCAGGGCATCAAATAACGTTAAGAATCGTTCTCATCTGCTCGGGTCCAAAAGTTGACCCGAATTTGTAAACTTGTGTAATTATTTCTTGGTCTATATATAATACTAGAATGGCGGCCTAGACAGGATGCTTTCAGAGGCAGACAAGATGGTCAGATGACTTATAGATATTTAGAGGAAACTGTATCCAAGTGCCACAGGACTGAGAAGGGTTGAAAGATTTGAGGGAGGCCTACGTCCAGCAGTGGACAATTCAGGCTGGTTGATGATGATGATATCATTAAATGAAGTATTGGCAAACTTGTTACATATGTGGGTCTGTTGTTAGAAATTTGATCTTGTAGATTGGGTAATATTCTACAGGGTGGTGCAAATATCGGCATTCTGCAGTTAAAAATAAGGTAAAAAGTTCGTTTAAAGGTATTTCCAAAAATGCTTCATTTCGGAGGTACAGAGTGTAGAAGTTTCATTTTTAATTCTTTTTTTTTTCAAATAATTTTTAAACTAACGTCGATATTTGAACACAATGTCTACTTCTTAACCTGAAGAAAAATGTTAATCTTTTTCTGGGAAAATCTTTTATTGATCTAAACAATATGCTTTTGTGAGGAGAAGTAACAATTTTTATTATTTATTGAAACTTCAGGGACCATACTACTTATTCTTCCTACATGTTCGTCTCTTCTTGATTTTTCTTCAGAGTTCAAAACCAAGGATTCTATTGTTCTGACTTGTTATATTATGCGACTCTATTTTATGATTTATAATTAGGGAAATATTTCAAGTTTAGTCTTGAAATAAAATGTTATTTTATTTTTTAACTAAAATGAAAATTTACAATTATTTTATACATATTTTTAAAACATGAGAAATTTGAATATGTGCATAACAGGTCGATGATCCGATGCATTTTCATACCGACCATAATTTAAGAGCAAGGATGCCATTGTTCGGACTTATATATTATTGAACTTTGTTTTACGATGCGTATAAATTTGAATCATCATTGCCAAGTTATTCGAAGTGTGGGACTGGATTTACAAGGTTCTTTTTCTTTTTCGAGTAACAGTATATGTGAGCATAATTTTTTAAGTATGCTACATTTATAAAAAAAAACATACCCATGTGGAAAAGATAAAAAATAACCACTTCTATTAACTCTATTTTGTATTACCTACTGTACCTACAGTACCTACTGTAATTCTTTTATTTCAAAATTCGCATTGGCAAAAAATAGAAAACTATGATTTAGATAGTTCGAAAGAAAATTTAGTTTCCAAAATTAAAAAATAATTTTGTCTTAATTTCCAATATACCGGGTGCGTCTTAAAAGTGGCTCACCTCTATAAATTTTTTATTTTTTCAGTTAAAAAAACGAGATTTGGTATGCTAGTATATGACGTAAATTAGTATTGATTGACGTATTCAATTGTTTTCGGTCACTTCCTGTTTTACCGGAAATGACAACAACTTTTGATTTTTAAATAGCACCCCCACTTTATTCAATAGAAAATGACATTCTGAATAGAATGACATATCATATGTTAACTTTTGGCATTTTTGCATATGGTTTATTTGAAATTATACCTTGCCGTTCGTAACTAAAATTTGACTCGAAATACCAAGTGTATGGTATCAAATTATTCGTAAAAAAATGCCTTTTCTAAATATGTTAATGAGACACCCTCGTTCTATTTGAAAAAATTGAGATATGATTAAAAATACGATTTTAGCATTTTCTAACTGACCAGGACAAGACACTAAAAACATTAGACAATCAAATCAATTTTTCCAAGGCTTCTTTATTAAGAATTAGCGTTTTTAACATAGCCATGGCAGTCTAGATTAAATTTTAAAATACGATTTTTTATTAAGCGAGAATGCCAAAAGTTGACATATGATATGTCATTCTATTCAGAATGTCATTTTCTATCGAATAAAGTAAAAAAATACCGAGGGTGCCATTTAAAAATCAAAAGTTATAGTAATTTCCGGTGAAACAGGAAGTGACCAAAAGCAATTGAATACGTCAATCAATCATAATTTATGTCATATACTAACTTACCAAATCTCGTTTTTTTTTATCTGAAAAAATAAAAAAGTTATAGGGGTGAGCCACTTTTGATACGCACCCGGTATATGCTAATTTTTACAATCCTAGCAAAGCTAATTCTCTAAAAAAAGTCATACCCAATTGTGTGTTCATTTATATGCTTCAAGCAACTAAAGTCTAAATAAATAAAGCTGTCGTAATATTTAATGAATAATTGGTGTTTTGTATGTATTTATTAGGGCTGTAGATGGGCTGAATTAAAAAGGCACAATCAAGATTAAACTTAATTAAAAGATATTGGAATTCATTGCTCACAATTATAAGCAAATTTAGGAATAGGGGTAGAACTAGCATATTAATAAATTTTTAGCCCTGGCCCTATACAAAATTAAAATATAGAAAATTACTAATGGGGACGATGACTAAATTATTATACAGGGCAAGTCTTAAATAAGTGCAAATAAGGTTGGTAGATATCGATAAAAGAAACATATTTTCTCTTCACTGTTTTACAAATAAGTCCAAAATAGTCGCCATATTTTAATTTGAAACTTTCAAATAATATAATTTTTCTCTTAAATTTTGAGAACCACTGGATCTTTTCTGGGTTTTCGTTCTATCTGTGTTGTAAATTTAATCTACTATCTGTGTTGCCATATTATGAAGATAATATCTTTTTTAATTAAAAATTTAAAAAAATCCAAAAATTTCTTTACAAAAATTTCAAATGTTGAATTTATTTTCGCAAAAAAAAACATCATAGACGTGTTTCTGGGGTCAACATGTACTACCGTTAAAAATATTTGCACTTATTTTAGATTCATCCTGTACAAGTACGTATGTATGTCCTTTAATATATTTATCTAAACCTTAACAATTTAAAAAAATTATTTTGTTGTTCTTATATTCTGGTTTAAAGCTAATAGGAGCTAATTGCCATAACTAGATATTTGTGCGTAATTAGCAAATGGAATGTATTTAATATTTATGTATTTTAAAACAATAAAAGTTTATATCGTAACATAAGATAATTAAACATTATATGCTAATAGTTTTCTCAAGTTATTGTGATATATCCAATACAAAAGATTTATTAAACTGAAAATTACGCTCCCTCATTCGATGCGTGACGACATCAAAAATTAGGAACTATAATTGCACTAATCTCCTTAAAAAAAGAATTGCATTGTTTTGTTTTAAATTAATTGTTATTGTGAAACTCGGTATCAAATTAAGGCGCAGTTTTTACTTATATTTCTGTTTGTGAGGCACAACTAAACTGGACAAACAAAGGATTAAAAATTGATGGATTAAAAATATATTAACCATCTAAGATTCGCTGATGACATAGCTCTAATAGCCAATAGTCCTGAATAACTACAAATACAAATTAACGAACTAAATACAGCCAGCAATAAAGTAGGTCTCAGAATGAATTTAACAAAAACTAAAGTACAACGAACTAGTAGACAGAAAAGACATTGTAATAAATAAAACAAAACTGGAAATAGTAGAATACATATATTTGGG